AGAGTCTCGCCGGGAGGAGCCTGGGCCGGTTTCTCCGCCCCGCTCCCCGCCCAGGCTGCAGTAAACAGGGCCTGAACGCCCGGGCAGGGCCGAGTGTCTGAGGACAAGGCGCTGGCTTTGCTAATCACATCACAAGACCTTGAGCCAGGGCCAAAGTCGCGGAGTGGCGCGGGGCGTCCCGGGCGGGGGAGTCTACTGTGAGAGTCTCGCCGGGAGGAGCCTGGGCCGGTTTCTCCGCCCCGCTCCCCGCCCAGGCTGCAGTAAACAGGGCCTGAACGCCCGGGCAGGGCCGAGTGTCTGAGGACAAGGCGCTGGCTTTGCTAATCACATCACAAGACCTTGAGCCAGGGCCAAAGTCGCGGAGTGGCGCGGGGCGTCCCGGGCGGGGGAGTCTACTGTGAGGACGGGAGGAAAGGCAGGCAGAGCCGCGTAGGCATGAAGGCGACTTCCCGCCACCCTGTTTGTCTCCTGGTCAGTCCGGCCTTTCCCAGACCTCCCGGGGGTTGGGGTGTAGCTGCCAGCCAAGCTCCCCGCCCGCCAAAGCCTTGGCCTGGCGCACCCTCCAAGCCCTCCCTGGCCACTGGGGGAGCCGCGCCCCGCCTTAGCTCGTCGTGGGCCCCAGGCTCTGGCTAAAGCTTCCCTCGGCCTGGCAGGGCTGGGCACCGAGGACTCGGATGATGGACTCGTCCCCATTTCCTCTCGCCAGCCCCACACCCCTAAAGCCTGTGCCGGGGAAATGTTCTGCCTCCGGGTACCGGGCAGACACCCCCTCTAGCGCCCAGTGAGGCTAAAGCCGCGGGCAGTCCCACTAGGGCAGATAAGAGTCTGTTGCAGGACACTTGCCACTTCCTACCTATAATTATGCTGCCAAAAAGCTGGAGCTGGGCCCATGATTTTGCACACCTGGCAGCCTAGGCTGCAACTGGGCTTAAGGTGGAAGTCAAGGAAGAAAGCTCCCTGACCCACACCCCCTTCCCGAATTGATCTTATTTCGCATGTTTTCTGCCCTCATTTCCATTCGGTGCTCATTTCCTCTCTCAGCTAACCTGGAAGGGACTGATTCCTTAGAGTTCAGCTTGAATGCAGTACCCAGTGCTGCACTTCCTCTACACCTACCCAGGGAACTAGAGTCTGGGTAGGGCAAAAACTTTAGGATCAGAAACTTAGGGCTTGAAGTTCAGACCCTGCCCCTTCCAAGCCATGTGGTTTTAGGCAAATCACATGATTTTTGTATACCAAGGACTCTTTGGTACTTGAGTTTTCTAGTGAAACTAAGAATTCCTGCTTTACTCATTTCTCACCTTTGTCAAGGTGCAAATGAGTTGTTAAAGGTGTTTAAAAGATAAGTAAAATCCATCCTATTATTAAAAGCAAATTTACACAGCATAAAAACCGGAGGAAGCCAGGCCCCTGGACTATGGCCAGATGTCTAGAGGTCCGCAGAATCATGCATGCAGAAATAGGGGCACCAAATCTTTGACTCGAGGATAGTGCCCTCAGAACAGGTGACTGCTTCATTCTTTTTTACATACATATTAGAGACCCGGTGCACAAAATTTGTGCATGGGTAGGGTCCCTAGGCCTGGAAGGCGATCAGGACTGATTGGGCCTTCCAGCTGCCAACTGGCGTCTCCCTTCCCCAGCTGCCTGCCAGGGCCTTCCTTCATTCCATGCCGCCCCCTGGTGGTCAGCACACATCATAGTGAGCGATTGAACTCCCTAGGGGACTCTGCATATTAGCATTTTATATATATAGATAATCTTTATTGTTTAAAGTTATATATGTC